GCTATTTTTTGGTTGCAGCCGTCATTGTTGTTTGGCAGGCCCAGGCTGGATTCGAACCCTCCACCTTAGGTGTATGTGGCTGGCGCCTTAGCCACTTGAGCCACAGGCGCCAAGCCTATTCTTAGCTTCTTGAAATTCTCTATATCTTTTTTTTTTTTTTTTTTATTAAGACAAAGTCTCACTTTGTCACCCTCAGTAGAGTGGCCACAGTGTCATACCTCACAGCAACCTCAAACTCTTGGGCTCAAGCAATTCTCTTGCCTCAGCTTCCCTAGTAGCTGGGACTACAGGCACTCACCACAACGCCCAGCTATTTTTTTTGTTGTTCTTGTTTAGCAGGCCTGGGCTGGGTTCAAACCCACCAGCCCTGGAGCATGTGGCCAGTGCCCTAACCACTGAGCAACAGGCACCGAGCCAAAATTCTCTACATCTTTCACAGGATCTCAAAGCATATATTGCCTTGAGTTTATCATGGATATAACTGTGGTCCTTAGGGTATACTACAGCCGGCAAAACATGACTTCCTCAAGCATGGACTCCCATTTCTAGCCTACAACATAGACAACTGCTTTAAGGGTAAAGACCTCAGGCCATGCCTGTGGCTCAAGTGGTAGGGCACTGGCCCCATACACCAAGGATGGTGGGTTCAAACTCAGCCCCAGCCAAACTGCAACAAAAAAATAGCCGGACATTGTGGCAGGTACCTGTAATCCCAGCTACTTGGGAGGCTGAGGCAAGAAAATTGCCTAAGCCCAGGAGTTGGAGGTTGCTGTGAACTGGGACACCGTGGCACTCTACCAAGGGCAAGCATCATAGTAAAACCACACTATGAACCTAATTACTAGACTAAAGAGTGATTCTCAAAGTTTTATCAATTTAAATATATTAACAGAAAGGATAGGCTCGGCGCCTGTGGTTCAAGCAGCTAAGGTGCCAGCCACATACACCTAAGGTGGCAGGTTTGAATCCAGCCTAGGCCGCCAAACAACAATAATGGCTGCAACCAAAAATAGCCGGGCATTGTGGCAGGCACCTGTGGTCCCAGCTACTTGGGAGGCTGAGGCAGGAGACTTGCTTGAGCCCAGGAGTTGGAGGTTGCTGTGAGCAGTGAAGCCATGGCACTCTACCCAGAGGCACAGCTTGAGGCTCTATCTCAAAAAAAAAAAAAAAACCAGAAAGGATAAAAACTTAAAAGCAATTCTCTGGCCAGGTAAGGTAGCTCACTCCTACAATCCTAGCACTCTGGGAGACTGAGCCCCAAGGATTGCCTGAGCTTAGGAGTTAGACACCAGCCTGGGCAAGAGCAAGACCTCATCTCTACAAAATTGCCGGCTTTGTAGTGAACACCTATAGTCCCAGCTACTCAGGGGGCTGAGGAACACAGGAATTTGAGGTTGCTATGAGTTAGGCTGACACCATGGCACTCTAACCTGGGCAACAGAGTTAGATAAGTTAAACTCTGATTCAGGTAAAAATATATACATACATTGTTAAGATATCTCCAGGCCAGGCGCAGTGGCTCATGCCTGTAATCCTAGGACTCTGGGAGGCAGATGTGGGTGGATTGCCTGAGCTCACAGGTTAGAGACCAGCCTGTGCCAGAGCTAGACCTCTTCTCTAAAAGTAGCCTGTAGCCCCAGTTACACGGGAGGCTGAGGCAAGAGAATCGCTTAAACCCAAGAGTTTGAGGTTGCTGTGAGCAATGATGCCATGGCACTCTACCAAGGATGACAAAGTGAGACTCTTGTCTCAAAAAAAAAAAAAACTGCTTCTCAAAATTGTTCTTTATATTCAACATAATCCAAACCAAAATTTCAGCAAGGTTTTTTTTGGTAGAAATTGACAGAAAAAAACTTACATGGAAATGCAAAATGATCAAAACAGTTTTGGAAAATAGGAACAAAGTTCAAGGCTTTGCAAGACTCAGCCTGGACAACATAGTGAGACCTCCATCTCATAAAATAAACAAAAACCCCCTCACACTTCATTATATCTCACAATCACAAAAATAAACTTTAAAACAAGCATTCTAGCTAGACACTGTGGCTAACACCTATAATTATAGCAGTTTGAGAGGCTGAGATTAGGAGAATGGCTTGAGGCCAGGAGTTTGAGATCAGCCTGAGCAATAGAGTGAGATACTGTCTCTACAAAAAATGGAAAAATTGAAGGGAGAGGAGAGGGTGGGTGGAGGGAGGGTGATGGTAGGATCACGCCTATGGATCATCCTATAAGGGTACATGTGAATTTCTCTAAATGTAGAATATAAATGTCTTAACACAATAACTAAGAAAAAGATAGGAAGGCTATGTTAACCAGTTGGATGAAAGTATTTCAAATTGTATATGAAGCAGTACACTATACTCCATGATAGTATTAATGTACACTGCTATGATTTTTTTTTTTTTTTT